CCTGACTAAGGTCTTTTGTCTTCAGAACCATTTTCTCTGACTGTCTCATGACTTGAGCCATAGCTGCGGTGCTGGCTCATGGCTGGAGAGCCTGTTGAAATATTTTCAGATGAACTAATGTGCCATCTAGGATTTGCTGCCAAGTTCTACTTAGTATCAAGAGATGGCAGATGCTTGAAAATAGATTTCTGTGAGTTGATAACTAGTGAAGTTGTGTAGCAGACACTTGGGGATTATTCAGCATTCAGGGGTTTACTTAAAAAAAATTTTTTTTAAATGTGAAAGAGTAACAGAGAGAAGGAAAAACAGAGAAAGAGGGAGAGAGACAGAGACAGACAGAGAGATAGAGAGATCATCCATTTGTTGGTTCACTCCCCAAATGCCCTAGGGGCTAGGCCTTGTCTAGACTGAGATGAGGAGCCATGTGGGTGCAGGGGCCCAAACACCTGGGTTATCCTCTACTGCTTTCCCCAGCCATTATCATGGAGCTGAATTAAAAGTGGAGCAGTCACTAGGCCCAGTTTAGTGGCTAAAGTCCTCACCTTGCACACACTAGGATCCCATATTGGCACCGGTTTGTATCCCAGTTGCTCTACTTCCCTTCCTGCTTGTGACCTGAGAAAGCAGTCGAGGCAGCCCAAAGCCTTGGGTCCTGCATCCATGTGGGAGACCCAGAAGAAGCTGCTGGCTCCTGGCTTCAAAACAGCTCAGCTCCGGCCACTGCAGCTGCTTAGGGAGTGAACCAGCAAACGGATCTTTCTCTCTGTCTTTCCAATAAAAATAAATAAAATGAATTTTAAAAAATAAATAAATAAATAAAAAGTGGAGCTGCCCGGACTCCAGTGTCCATAGGATGCTGGCTCCTGGGGTTTCTTTTCATATGTATCTACACTTCCCAAAAGAAAACATTTCTTAACCTGGGTACAATTTAACTGAGTTACAGCACCTCCTGACCAGCACTAATATATGCATACACATATATATGTTGTTAACATATATTGTTTAGAATATACATATCTGGGCTGCTCCAAAGTCAGGAGCCAGGAGTTTCTTCCGGGCCTCCTATGTAAATGCAGGGTCCCAAGGGATTAGGCCGTCCTCCACTGCCTTCGCAGGCCACAAGCAGGGAACTGGATAGGAAGTGGACAAGCTGGGAATGAACTGGTGCCCACATGGTATGTGTGAGCAGAGGATTAGCCTGACATGCCACCACACTGACCCCTGAAATGAGTTTTAGCAGATATTGTCTTATAAAAATTTAGCTTAAAGTTCCTTAGAGTGTTGTTTATTCACAGTCCAACCTTTTGTGCAAAGTAGTAAAAGATCTTAAGCTAATAACTGCATTTTGATTTTTTTTGGCCTTTGTTTTTCATTTTTATAACTGCATTTTGAAGAACAATATAAAGGTTTTCTTTTGTCATCTGAACAACACCAGCTGATAGGCAGATCTGTGGGCTTTTTAAAAGTAGGATTGCTTATTTTCCATTCTTTTGGGAGACCCTATTATGACAGCTTACCATATAACAAACAGTATTTTACATGCTTTTGTGTTTGCTGCTTCTCCCAAGCCTTACAGGAACTTTTTGTCATACATACATATTATTACCAGCCCCCAGTTTACCGATGAGGAAATAGAGGGCCAGAGAGACTAATGATAGCTAACATTTGTTAACCACTTAGGAGGTTGCAAGTGCTGCGTTAATTGCTTATTTTATCTTCACACTATTACGAGGCAGGCACTATTATTATCCATACTTTATAGGTGAGGAAATCAAGGTTTCAAGAGGTGAAGGAGCTGTGGACAGCTGCCAATCAGGCGTCCTCTTTGCGTCACCTCTGGCACTCTCCATTCCACACCACTCTCAGGATGCAGCCCAGTGGGGTGGCTCAGATGCAGCAAGTGTGTGGGCTGTGTGGCCATTAGTCAGGTGGCCCTATCTAAGCCTGTTTCTAATTGGTGAAATGGGGCTAATGCTAATGTCTCTCCAGTAGGGTAATTATGGAGATCAACCGAGTACCTGGTCCAGAGTTTTGTCAGCTCCGTTGATGAAAGTGGTTTTTCTTACCACATTTGTTATTATTACTGCTGATTCACTCCACAAAGCAACCACAATGGCCAAAGCTGCGTCAATCAAAAGTCAGGAGCCCGGAGCCTCCTTTGGGTCTCCCACATGGTTGCAGGGTCCCAAGACTTTGGGCTGTCCTCAACTGCTTTCCCATGTCACAAGCAGGGAGCTGGATGGGAAGTGGGGCTGCTGGGACATGAACCAGCACCCACACGGGACCCTAACCACCAGGCCACCATGCCGGACCCCACATTTATTATTATTATTTTTAAATTGTTTATTTGAAAGTCAAAGTGTCAAGGGGAGAGAGAGCATCTGCTGGCTCACTTTCTGAATTGTTGCCACAGTTGGGACTGGGACAGGACTAAACCAGGAGCCAGAAACTCTGGGACTCTCATTTGGATGAGTAGTAGGGCTCAAAGTACTTGGGCCTTCATCTGTTGCCTCCCAGGACATTAGCAGGAGGCTGGATCAGAAACAGTCGCTCTGATATGGATTGCAGGTGTCCCAAGCACCAGCTTAACGGACTCAACCACAGTGTCTGCCTTTTCAAGCCTTTTTAGCATCACTGCATAACTGAATGGTAAGGGCAAAGTTCCTCTGTCCTCTCGCCTCTTCCTCATGCTATACCAGTTGTCCTTATGTTACAGCCAGTGAGCCTACGCTGACACATCGCTGTACCCACAGTCTATGAGTCTACATGAGCTGTGGTGGCGTATATCACATGATTTCCACAAATGTACAGTGACTTGTATCCACCCCTCTGGTGTCCTACAGGGTACTGTCCCATCTCCCCTTCTTTCCCGCTAACTTCTGGCTCTGTTTCCATGGTTTTGCCTTTATTGCAATATCATGTAATTGAAATCACTGAGATGCTTTCAGATTGGCTTTTAATGAGAAATATGAATTTGGGTTTTCCTTCTTTTCATGATTGGGAAGCGCATTTCTTTCTAGTGTTGAGTAATAGTCTGTTAACAGGTTGCACCATGGTTTATTTACCGTGTCACCTACTGAGTTTCATTTAGTTACTTCCAAGTTTTGGCACTCATGAATGAACTTGCTATAAACATTGTGTGCAGGCTTTTGTGTGGATGTAAACTTTTAATTTATTTTGGTAAATACTTAGTGGTCTGGTCGCTGGATTGGATGGTGAAGAATACGTTTAGTTTTTGTAAGAAAGTGTCTTTCAGTGTCGTTGTACTATTTAAATTTTTTATTGTTATTTTATTTTGATAATCTTTACATAGTTGATTAGGACACAAAGGGTCAAGGGCTACATAAATTACAGAGAGAGGAGACAGAGGGAGAGCTTCTATCCATGGGTTTGCTCTCCAGATTGCTGTAGACTGGGCCATTTTCAAAATAAACACAGGGAAGGTGGCATTGCTATTACCCCATTTTTCAGATGCAGAAACAGGGTTTTTATAAACCGCCCAGTAACACAGAACTGAGAAATGTGAAAACTGAGATTTGAGCTCGGCTCCAGAGTCCATGCACTCAATTCCTATTTATACTCATGTCTTCTTGACAAGTGTGTTACAAAGAATTAAGGATGGTGTCCGGCTCCTAGTAGGTGCTCAGGAAGCAGTAGTGATAGTCGTCATCCTCACTGGCCCTCAAGGTTTTGCCCGAATACGGAGTCCTCGAGGGGTTTTCCTTACTCTTCCTGCCAGGCCACACAGCCATTGCAGCACCTGTGACAGCCTGCTGACTCGTATTGCTGTCACTGCTCCCCTCCACCTGCTTCCAGGTGAATGTCTGAAGACACCACGCAGGTCTGATTTCTCTCTGTGCCCCTCTCACTGCCTGGAGCTGCACTTGGCATTCAGCAGCAGTGGATGTTTGCTGAGTTGAGCTTGAATAGCATGGCCTCCCCTCATCCAATATGCACATACCGCAGTGCCACCTTGCTCTGGTCTTCCCTGATCTGTCAGGTCAGGCCACCTTTGCCTGAAAAGTTTCTGTTTGGGCTATGATGAGAGCCACCTGCTGTTGTCTGTTATACTTTCTGTCCCGTATTTCCCCACCTGATTTCTTCCCCGTTCTGGGGTACCTCCCTTCTCTCCATCCCAGACACTGCCCAGGGAAATATCTGCTTCTTTCTCTCTCTTAACTCAGGATGTGGCATCTGTCTTGGAGGTCTGGTCTCTTAGTGTCCTTTGGGATCTCCCAGGAGGTCTGAAATCTCTCCTTGCCGGGTGCTGCAGCTCACTTGATATGTACAGGATGTGGCCAGCCCAGAGAGGGACTTCATTCCAAAGAGCTTCTGAAGGGTGTTGATCTTGGCATTGTTGGATTGCTTCAGGGAGTGACTACCTCTTTGAGCCCTCTGAGCCCTGGTACACCGTGACCTCTGAACTCTGACACACGGTGACCTCTGGGCCCTGGTATACCATTACCCCTGAGCCCAGATACACTGCGACCTTGGGCACTCGTATGCTTTGACCTTGGTACACCTTTTGAGCAGCTGTACGGGAAACAGAGTTGTCAGACAGGGTCACCAGGAGCTTGATGTCATCTTAGGGAGTGTGTCCGGGCAGGGCTACCTGCCCTGGACTGAGTCCACTGACACCAGGCAAAGCTGTGCCTTAACCTGTGAAGAGGTGGCCAGCTAGACTAAGTCGCTGGCTTTGGCCAACACTTACCCTGGGCACAGCCAGCAGAGAGACCCGAGTGTGCCTTGGACAGAACCTCTTGTGCCCATTCAGCAGCCTTGAGGCCCACACGCAGGCCGGACCTCCAGGCGGGGCCTCACGGGCTCAGCAAACGGAGCTTCGGAGCCCCCAGCGGACAGAGCCTTTGCAGTGGGCGCACCGCGCGCGTCTGGTGGCGCGCCCGCGGGTTGCCGGGAGTTTATCCCCGCAGCCGCCAGCAGGGAGCTCCCTTTCGGCTCCGCGCGCGCGGTTGCGGGGGGCGGCGCTGTGGTGCGCCGCGCTGCGCTCCAGCCCCTCCGGGCCGGGGCCGCTGGATGCCGCGTCTCCGCTCCTGCTGCCTGCCGGGCGGGCTCCGGCGGCCGGTGAGTGCGGGGTGGTGGGGGCGGTCGGTCGGCGGCGGGCCCTGCCCGGTGGGGCGGCGGGGCGAGCTCTGGACGAGCGGGCGGGCGGGCGGGCGGCGGGGCCCGCCGGCTCCTCCTCCCCCTGGCCGCTCGCTGGAAGCAGTGGCCCGGACTCCCGGCTCCCGTCCCTGGCGGCGCCACGGAGCTCGACGCGCGGGGATTGGGGCCGACTAGCAGGGGCAAAGAGGGCAGCGCCGGTCCCCTTTGGCCAGCCTAAGGGACGCAGGGTGGCAGAATAGGGTGGCCTTCAGTTTTGGGGGTGGGGTGGGGATTTGGGGTTTGGAGGAGCCCAGGTGACCCAGAGCTACGGAGTGCAGGCAGTCGCCTCGGGGGTGGGGGGCTTCCCAGGACCAGGCCCGGGAACCCCTAATACAGCCAGAAAACGAGGCGTTGAGGAAGGCGGTGGGGACCGAGAGCACCTCCACCGAGCCCTTTATCCCTCCCAGCGGCCTTCACCCTTTCACTGCCAGGCCGCCAGCGGGCTCCACTCAAAGGAGCAGCTGCTAGACAGCTGGCAAAACAATGGAGACCCCGCTTCCCGGCCGGCCCCCTCCTCTTGGGACAGGAGGTGGGGGTGGGGTGGGTGCCTGGACGGCGGACTGAGGGGTGGGTGTCTCAGGGAGCACGGGCGCTCCCCTGTGACTGGCTGCTCACCTCACCTTGCTGACTGAGGGGTGGGGTGAGTGTGGGAAGGTCAGGCTGCCGGGGCGGCCCAGGCCTCAGGGAGAGCCCGCCCTGACGCCCCGCCCTGCGAACCTGTCATGCCAGTTGCTTCACCAATGGGAAGGGGAGGTAGTAGGGCCAGCCGGCCTGCCATGCGGGTGAACAGCCCCTGTGCCAGGGGAGGTGGGTACCAAGCCTGGTGAGGAGTGGGTCATGCTCTCGGTTGAGATAAGGCTTGTGGGGACACACATTCATGGGGGAGCAGGGCTTTGTGGAGGGGGCGGTTGGAGGTGGCACCCAGGAGGGAGACACATGTGTCTTGCTGATTAGTGAGAAAGGCTGCTGCTGCCAGAATGAGCTAGTGTGTGTGTGTTGGGGGCTGGAGGGGGTGGTGGTGGAGAGAAAGACAGCCAGTTTGTGTTTTGAACTGGGGCTTATTTGTCCTGGTCACTCACTTGGCCTGTGGGGTGTGGGCTTGGCCTCAAGGTTTGGGAGACCACTTTGCTGGGAAGCATCTTCCTGGCCAGGGCCTTCCTGCCCCTGCTAGTCCCCCAGAATTAAGAACTGGCCCCCTGACCCTGACCCCACTCCACCTTGTCAGTGACTTGTGATTCTTGGGTTTGGTTTTGATTTGTCTCTCAAAGTCCCTGATATGTCTGCAGCTGGGGAGGCCTTGTGAATGGAGATGGAAATGGAGGCCTCTGTGTGTGTGTGTGTGTGTGTGTGTGTGTGTGTGTGTGCACATTGGCAGGGATAGCAGGTCACTGTGGGTGACAGAGCACCACAGCAGGACACTGATGCTGGAGGATACTGAATCAGCTGCCTTTCCTGGTGCTTACCAGTTCTGGAAACCTTTTTCTGAGCTGGTTCGTGTCCTGTTGTCATGGCAACAAGTCTGGCCCACCATTTCTCACCCTTTTTTGGTCCAGAGGTTCCTTTCTATTCGGCAGCTATTGAGAGTTGCTCTCCTGAGGCCTTGGGCTTCCTGACCAGCCTCATCCATGGCCTGCCACCTCCGTAGCTTCCCCTCTGTCCTTTTGTGATGAGTACTTTCCAGGAAACCAGCTCCTGGTTGCTGGACGTGACAGGACTGGTTATATATAGCTGTGGATGGAGGTGTGCTTGTCCATCTGGGGTTGAGGACATGGAGTTTGAGGCCTGGATTCCAGGAAGACAATGGCTTTGGGGGTAAGCTACTATATGAAGGACATTTCCAGGAGAGTAAGAAGGAGTATGGGTGGGGGTGGCCAGGGGAGGGGTTGTTGGCTGGGGGGGGGGGGCACTTCTTTCAGGGGCTATGAACTTGGGACAGTGGATGATAGTGTGCCTGGCAGCTGCCAGTGTCAAATTTGTTTGTTTTCCCATGGTTTGGCTCAGGTGCCTGGGCTTGTGCCAAGGACTTTCTCTCCCATCCCCGGGCTCTCCCAGTAGCCCTCTTGCCTCCCACCTGGGCTGTCAAGCTCACTCTTGGGTAGTGTGGACAGCCAGCCTGTTGTCTGCAGCTCCTTCATGGCCCTGCTTTGGGCTGCTCAGGGAGGGCTGCATGTATCCTACAGAAGTTGGACCTGGAAGGAACTCTGAGGTGGACTGGTGGGGCATCCACCTGCAGCGCAGGAGCTGGGAGTTGCTGGAACCCAGGACGCCTGGATCCAGACCTGGTCTCCAGGACAGTGAAGCTGTTCTTGTTCCCTCAGACCAGAGATTTGTGCAAACAAACTCCCTCAGCTGCTGTGGGCGCCACAGGCAGGAACCACAGCATCCATGTGACCTGGGCTTCCCATTTCCCCCACCCTCCCATTAGCCAGGTGGGTTAAAGCTGGGGGCTCTGACTTAAAGGTTGTTTTCTTCAGCGGGTGGTTGGGCCAAGCCCACTCTGTGCTATGATTGACAGATTTTGCCTGGACTCTGGATGCAGCTCCATGCAGATTTAAGTTCTGCTTCAAGCTGGGCCTGGAGCGGATTTTAAGATATGCCCACCACCCCTCACCCCATCATTCCTCCACCTTTATTGAGGTGTCAATCACCAGTGTTTGAGGTGACTGAGAAGGTGGTATGCAGAGACAGTAGTGGGATAGGGAGGGCCCACTCTCCCCCCCCCCCCACCTTCCTTGCCCTTTGTCTCAAGGCTGGAATTGTGTGTCTTGTAAATTATCCACCTTCCCTGGAGGCTTCAAACCACTTAGGGAAGGGGCTGGGGTTGTTGGACTGGTGGTGTTATGGGGACTACAGCCCCTCCCCTCCTCCAGGCACTTTATCTTCATTTACGAGGGATTATTTTTATTATTCTCTGGCTTCTCAGAGACTAGCATGACGGACTCAAGGTCACACAGCGTGGAGGCGGAGCGGGATTAGAACCTGCAGTTTGCGGTTGCTCTGAAAACCTCTGGGCAGAGGCTCTGGGCCAAGTCTGTGTTCCTTGGCCCTCAGAGATTGATAGTTGAAGGAGCTCAGGCCAGGAGCCTGGACACCACTAGCTCAAGGTCACACGGTGTACCGGCAGGGCCGCAGGGGACTGCTTGGGCTGCTGGCGCCTCTCCTACCGCTGTTTCTCCTGGGACCCGCGGGCTCCTGGCGTTCCAGGAGAGACCAGACCATATTGTGTCGGGAAGCACTGCGGGCTGCGGCTGCTGGGGAGTCCGCCTGCCACCCGGCTCCTGGTGCTGCATCGGGCGGGCCGGCTGCTGTCATGTGAGAGGCGGGCGGTCGGGAGCTAGGGAGCACACCTGGAGCCAGATAAGCTCCGTGTGACCTGGCGGTGAGTCATGGGGCGCCACGGAGCTCAGCGGGAGCTCAGCAGAACCGCGGGAGCAGGCTCGGCAGGCGCCACCCGCCCGCTGCTTCGGGGCTGGGCCGGGCCAAGCCAGGTGCTGCAGGACGCCCTAGGGTCGCTTCTGCACTCCTTGGGTGCCGGTAGTGCCTGCCTGGGGCCCCCGGGCTGTAGGCAGCGGGTCACTCTGGGAGGTCAGAGGCCGAGGGAAAGAGGACGGCTCTCAGGGGAGAGTATTTCCTTTGTATTTATTTATGAGTGGGGGCTGGGGGACTGGGGATCTGCCCACCAAGGGCGAGTCCGGGCGCCCTTGTCTTGGATGTGAGCATTTGCAGTTTCCTTTCCTGGGGCTTTTGCTTTGCAGAGTGACCCATTTAAATCTGTCCCCACTGAAAGCCACAAGACAACAGTGAAATCTATGTTAACTGAGTCCCCCAAGTTACCGGAACTTTCCAGACTACAAGACAAGCCAGAAAGTGACCACTGCAAAGCCTGGGACAGCTTGGAGGCCAAGGCTCTGCTCACTCCTTTTGTCAGCACCCTCTCCTCTTTTTTTTTTTTAAATTTTTTATCTTTAAAAACAGGAAAACAACATGTGTTGAAAGCTGTTCAGTCTGTAGGAAGTTCATGGGGTAGAAAGCTGAGGCATTAGTCCCTCTGCCCCATGTGCTCCAGAGATAAGCAGATACAGTTTCATAATAGATATTTACACACTGTTTTTGAAAGGCTTGTCCTATGTATGACTTACATGTGGATGGCATATATTTATAGGTTAGTGTGCTATGTTAAAATATCATTAATGTAAATATTATTTCCTGTGGGAAGAAAAGAACATGCAGGAAAAAATTTTCTCATAATCCCAGTACTCAAAGCATTTAAAGCCACACATACACACAGAGTGCTAAATATTCTTACTATAAAAAAATCAAAATAATAATCTTACTATAAAAAAACGAAACAATGTATGCATTACCCAAGTTTGCTTTGACCAGATCTCTTCCCAGAGCATTATTTTTCTAGACATGTTGTACATATCCACATGTATGTGTAGTTTTTAGATGTTCTATCCTACCCTGTAAATTGCTTTTTCTATATAACACTATAGTATGGAACCTTTCCAGGTTGGGGTATACAAATCTAACTCTTTTTTTTTTTTTAAGATTTATTTATTTTTATTTGAAAGGCAGAGTTACACTGAGAGGAGGGACAGAGATAACCTTCTGTCTGCTATTTCATTCTCCAATTGGCCACAATGGGTAGGGTTGGGCCACTTCAAAGCCAGGAGCTCTTCTGGGTCTCTCATGTGGATGCAGAGGCCCAAGGATTTGAGATAGCCTCTGCTTTTTTCCCCAGTGCATTAGCAGGGGGCTGTATCAGAAGAGGAGCAGTTTTAACTCAAACTGGCACCTGTGTGGGATGCCAGTGTTGCCGTTGACAGCTTAATCTGTTACACCATGATGCCAGCCCCTATAAATACTGTCATACACAGCACCAACTTGCCCTCATGAAAAATTATACTGGGCCCAGTGTG